AAGCCCGGCCACCTGGGATGCCCACACCTGCATGACCTGGGACCTGACCTAGTATGACGTGGCACTCTGACCTTGTATAACCTGGATGACCTCGACCCAAGACCTGGGTGACCTTGACTTGTATGACCTAGGTGACCCCTGATCTAATGACCCGATTGACCCTTGACCTAAAGTATGACCTGGTGACCTGTGTTATCCTAATATTGATGAAGTTATAAACCATTAGGAAAATATCGCATTAGCAAAGGAAACACTTAGAGAGAGAGAGAGAGAGAGAGAGAGAGAGAGAGAGAGAGAGATAATAGATGTAAGGGGAAGAGAAAAGAATGATGGGTGAGGGAGAAGGGGAGGTTGAGATAAAGAGGAGAGAGGAAAGAGAAGGGAAAAGAAGTTGAAGGGATGGAGAGAGGGAGTGAAGGCAAGGCAAGAAAGAAGGAGAAGGAAAGAGGGAGAGAATGGGAGGGTGAGGGAAGGAAGAGTTGAGAGAGAATGAAAGAGGGAGAGGTATAGAGAAGGGAGAGGAGGGAGGGAGGGAGGGATGAAGAAGGCTGGAGGAGGGGGACAGAGAGAGGGTGAAGGAGGAGGGTAAGGAGGAGGGGTGACAGAGGGAGGGGTGAAGGAGGGAGGGATGAAGGAGGGAGGGGAAGGAGGGAGGTGAAGGAGGGAGGGGACAGAGGGAGGGAGGATGGGAGGAGGGAGGGGTGAAGGAGGGAGGGTGACAGAGGGAGGAGGAGAGGAGGGAGAAGGAGGGAGGGGTGAGGAGGGAGGGATGAAGGAGGGAGGGTGACAGGAGGGATGAGGAGGGAGGGGTGAAGGAGGGAGGGGAAGGAGGGAGGGGTGACAGAGGGAGGGGTGAAGGAGGAGGGATGAAGGAGGAGGGGAAGGAGGGAGGGGTAAGGAGAGGGGTGAGAGGAGGAAGGGGTGAAGGAGGAGGGTGAAGGAGAGACACACAAGTAGGTGGTAATGTTGTTATAAAGTGACGATCACCAGACCCGGATAATGTGTTACGTGGCCTTGCTGGTGAGGGGAGACAAGCTGATAGATAGATAGAAGATGGATAGATAGATAGATAGATAGATAGATGATGCAGATAGATATGGTATAGGTCTCAATATTTATAATTACATATGATATTTTCTTGATCAATTTCCCAAACCCACACCTAAGAAATGTCTAAAACCATTCTCAAAGTTCTCGACCTATTTCACAATGTTACCGTGATTCATCCATCTATTCACCACCACCACCACTCCACCACCACCACCTTCACCACCACTCACCTACACCACCACCACTGACCTATTTCACATTGATCCTTCACCAACCCACTCACCACTCCACTCTCACCTCACCACTGCCCACCCACCACCAGCCCACCCACCCCACCCACCCCACCACCCACCTTGGAGAAATAACTAAACCTTAGCTGGGACAAGAAAAGGTTTTAAAGATTGATTGAACAGTAAGACTGGAGCCCAAGTTAGACAACAATGTGAGACTAATGGGGTAATGTACAGAAGACTCCAGGAAAGAAAAACAAAGAAGAAATGAGGAAGGAAGGGAGAGGAAGAGGAGGAAGTTTGTAGGAGGGAAGGAGAGGGAGAGGAAGAGGAAGTAGGAGGAAGAGGGAGGGAAGCTAGGAGGTGAAGGAGAGAAGAGGAAGAGAGGGAAATGTAGAGGGAAGCCAGGGGAGAGAAGAGAGGAAGTTTGTAGGGAGGGAAGGGAGGAGAGGAAGAGGAGGAAGTTGTAGGGTGAGGAGAGAGAGGGAAGAGGAGGAAGCTAGAGGGAAGGAGAGGGAGAGGAAGAGGAGGGAAGTTTGTAGGAGGAAGGGAGGGAGAGGAAGAGGAGGGAAGCAGAAGGGAAGAGGAGAGAAGCTTAGGGTGAAGGGAGGAAGAGGAGGAAGAGGAGGAAGGAGGGGAAGCTAGAGGGGAAGGGGAGGAAGCCAGGGAGAGGAAGAGAGAGAAGAGGAAGGAGGAAGTTTAGGGGAGGGAAGAGGAGGAAGGTTGTAGGAGGAAGGGAGGAAGCGGGAGGAAGAGAGGAAGGAGGAGGAAGGGAGGAAGTGGAAGAGGAGGGAAGTTAGGAGGAAGGGGAGGAAGTAGGGAGAGGAAGAGGAGGAGTTTGGGGAGGAAGGAAGTTTGGGGGAGAAGAGGAGGAGAGGAGGAAGGGAGGAAGTTAGAGGGAAGAGGAGGTTTGAAGGAAGAGGAGGGAAGTGTAGAGAGGGAAGGAGGAGGAAGAGGAGGAAGCTGAGGAAGGAAGAGGAGGGAAGTTAGGGAGGGAAGAGGAGGGAAGTTTAGAGGGGAGGAAGGGGAGGAAGAGGAGGGAAGTTTAGGAGGGAAGGGGGAGGAAGAGGAGGGAAGCTTGTGGGAGGGAAGAGGAGGGAAGTTTAGGGAGGGAAGAGGAGGGAAGTTTGGGAGGGAAGGGAGGGAAGTTTAGGGGAGGAAGAGGAGGGAAGTTTAGGGGAGGGGAAGAGGAGGAAGCTTGTGGGAGAGGAAGAGGAAGCTCAGAGGGAAGGGGAGGGGAAGTTTAGGGAGGAAGAGGAGGGAAGTTAGGAGGGAAGGGGAGGGAAGTTTGTGGGAGGGAAGAGGAGGGAAGCTAGGGAGGGAAGGGAGGGAAGTTTAGGGGAGGAGGAGGAGGGAAGTTTGTAGGAAGGAAGAGGAGAAGCTTGTAGGAGGGAAAGGGGAGAGGAAGAGAGGGAAGTTAGGAGAGGAAGGAGGGAAGTTGTGGGAGAGGAAGAGGAGGGAAGAGGAGAAGAAGAGGACAGTGGATGTTGAAATGGGACGAAAAAGAGGAAGAGAGGAAATAGCAGGAAAAGTAGGAGGAGGAATAGGAGAAGTAGTAGAATCAGAAGGAGTAGTAATAGGAATAATAGGAGGAGGCAATAAAGAAAGGGAATGGGAGAGGAAGAGAGAAGAACAAAGACTAATGTGTCAATATGAAACTTCCTTCTGGTAGTAGCTTACAACTTTGCTCTTCCTTAACTTTGTATGCTCTTAACTACCACACTCAGAGACCCTATGTATGTATGTATGTGTAAGTAAATATGTGTATGTGTGTTTTTAATGTTTATATAATTACTGTCATCAACTACATCAGCCTATTTCACTCATACTCTACCATCAACCACCAGATGTTTAATAAAATCCACATAACTCAATAACAAGTATGGTCAAAATCCTCCAGCATTCAGAGAGAATACAGAGGAGAATGACAAGACTAATCCCGGCATTAGGAACCTTGAGTATAGAGACAGGTTAAAGCATCTTAATTTGCATTCCCTCGAGAGACGTAGAGTGAGGGGCGATATGATAGAGGTGTATAAATGGAAGTCAGGGCTGAACAAAGGGGACATTACAAAGGTACTCAAACTATCCAAATAGGAGCGAACTCGTAACAATGGTTTTAAATTAGACAAATGTAGGTTTAGGCGGGAAATTGGTAAACATTGGTTTGGAAATTGAGTAGTGGATGAGTGGAACAAGTTACCAAACATCATCATTAACTCGAACACGCTGGATGACTTCAAATATAGGTTGGATGGATATATGAGCAATAGGGGTTGGGTGTAAAACGGACTGCCCAGTATTGAATTGAATTGAATTTTTTGAATTGTAACAGTTTATTTAGCCAGAAAAATACAGATACAGAGTGGATAATAATAACAATATTAACATGGCTGAGCCAGTTGAGAACCTGAGCTCTTTGAGGCACCTGATATATACTATACATTTATCTCAAGGAAGTATTATGTAACATTTAGTATCATCTGGAATAGTACAATAGCATGGTGGTAATAAGAACATCTCATAATGTTACCACGGTTATCACTAATATTTATTTATTTTATTATTTATTATTTTTATTTTTATTTATTTATTTATTTTTATTTATTTATACATACATATACACATAATTATAGGCCCGCTGCACTTGCCTCCATTCTTATGTTCTTAATGTTCTTATGCTCTTACTCCATCTTATATTAACTTAAGTCCTCCTCCTCCATCGTTCACTAATCCACCATAGTCAAACCTTGTCAAAAGTCCGCATCCAGTGTTATGGTAATACGGTTTTACTTTAGAGAAAACGCATCTTAAGAGGTATTTAGGGGGTGACTACAGTAAAATGTGATGATCGAGGAAGCATATTTTTTTTTCAGTATCGGGTATGGCTTTATGAGCTTTTTGTGGATTTGCGTTTGAATGGATGTGTTAACGTTATGAGAAGGGAAAGATGGGCCAAAGGAGGGGTTTTAAGGAAGGGGTGAGGGTGTTAGGTGTCAGGGTGAAGGGATGCGATAGGTAGAGAGGTAAAGGGGTGTGATGAGTCGGGGTGAAGGGCTGTGGGGGTTTATTTATTATTTCTCCCTGACATTGCACGAGTGAAGTGAGAGGATGAAAAATGTGTTGATATTGCACAGGCACTCGACACACTATTCCTCCTGTCATATTAGATTTCACATTCGAGAGTAATACAAAAAATATTAAAAAAAACTAGCGACACTAATGGAGTCCCAACATACTCGACCGCCCAGAGTGTTAAGAATAATATTGACGAGTAATGTGGGTGAAAGAAGTGGATGTTTTTACCAGTATTTGTACCAGCAAGAGAGTTGAGGAGTGTGAGACTGTTTTACCCAGAGTTTGTACCAGGCTAATGACTGATGGACAGATGGGAAAAAGGAGAGACAATCCTTCACAATAATCTAGATGGTTAGGTTAGGTTAGGTTAGGTTAGGTTAGGTCAGGTTAGGTTAGGTTAGGTTAGGTTAGGTTAGGTTAGGTCAGGTTAGGTTAGGTTAGGTTAGGTAATAGTAAACTGCAGGAACTTCTTTTTTTCCACCACAATAAACTGTATCTAAAATCACTGTCATTCCAACTGTCTCCTGCACCACCACCACCACACCCACGATTTATTGTATTCACTGCAGACCTCCACGTCGTTGATTCTGTCTCCGCTAATAGACCCCACGTTCCTCACCCCCTTGTTGTCTTCCCTTCAACAGAGATCGTGGAGAATGTCAAGAACGGCGGACACCCGGCGTTCAGGCCCAGCACGGAGGACGAGGTGGCCGAGGAGGAGGTGATGCAGATGATGAAGAAGTGTTGGGCCGAGGAGTACATGGAGCGGCCAGACTTCCAACAGCTCAAGACCATCATCCGCAGGCTCAACAAGTAAGGTCTACTGCCAGGGTCATACTGGGTCACGTCCTGGGGTGCTGAGAGAGCCAGGGTCATACTGGGTCACGTCCTGGGGTGCTGAGAGAGCCATGGTCATACTGGGTCACGTCCTGGGGTGCAGAGAGCCAGGGTCATACTGGGTCACGTCCTGGGGTGCTGAGAGAGCCGGTCATACTGGGTCACGTCCTGGGTGCTGAGAGAGCCAGGGTCATACTGGGTCACGTCCTGGGTGCTGAGAGAGCAGAGTCATACTGGGTCACGTCCTGGGTGCTGAGAGAGCCAGGGTCATACTGGGTCACGTCCTGGGGTGCTGAGAGAGCCAGGGTCATACTGGGTCACGTCCTGGGGTGCTGAGAGAGCCAGAGTCATACTGGGTCACGTCCTGGGTGCTGAGAGCCAGGGTCATACTGGGTCACGTCCTCGGGTGCTGAGAGAGCCAGGGTCATACTGGGTCACGTCCTAAAAGCAGAGAGCCAGGTCATACTGGGTCACTCCTGGGGTGCTGAGAGAGCCAGGGTCATATCACAGTCCTGGGTGCTGAGAGCCAGGGTCATACTGGGTCACGTCCTGGGTGCTGAGAGAGCCAGGGTCATACTGGGTCACGTCCTGGGGTGTTGAGACAGCCAAGGTCATACTGGGTCACGTCCGGGGTGAGAGAGCCAGGGTCACTGGGTCACGTCCTGGGGTGTTGAGAGAGCCAGGGTCATACTGGGTCACGTCCTGGGTGCTGAGAGAGCCAGGGTCATACTGGTCACGTCTGGGGGTGCTGAGAGAGCCAAGGTCATACGGTCACGTCCTGGGGTGCTGAGAGAGCGTATACCACGTCCTGGGGTGTTGAGACAGCCAAGGTCATACTGGGTCACGTCCTGGGGTGCTGAGAGAGCCAAGGTCATACTGGGTCACGTCCTGGGTGCTGAGAGAGCCAGGGTCATACTGGGTCACGTCCTGGGGTGTTGAGACAGCCAGGGCTGGGTCACGTCCTGGGGTGTTGAGACAGCCAAGGTCATACTGGGTCACGTCCGGGGTGCTAGAGAGAGCCAAGGTCATACTGGGTCACGTCCTGGGGTGCTGAGAGAGCCAGGGTCATACTGGGTCACGTCCTGGGGTGCTGAGAGAGCCAGGGTCATACTGGGTCACGTCCTGGGGTGCTGAGAGAGCCAGGTCATACTGGATCACGTCCCTGGGTGGAGAGAGCCAGGGTCATACTGGGTCACGTCCTGGGTGCTGGAGAGCCAGGGTCATACTGGGTCACGTCCTGGGGTGCTGAGAGAGCCAGTGTCAACTGGGTCACGTCCTGGGGTGCTGAGAGAGCCAATACTGGGTCACGTCCTGGGGTGTTGAGACAGCCAAGGTCATACTGGGTCACGTCCTGGGGTGTTGAGAGAGCCAGGGTCATACTGGGTCACGTCCTGGGGTGCTGAGAGAGCCAGGGTCATACTGGGTCACGTCCTGGGGTGTTGAGACAACCAAGGTTATACTGCAGAACATTAAACATGGAAGGTACAAAGGTGGAAGAGAATTGCAAATACGTAGGAGAAAGAAAACTCTAAACATAGAATAAAATAAATCAGGCCACAGAGAAGACAAAAATGAAGGAAGAACATCACAAAAAATAAAAGAAATAGTGATATATCAAGGAGAATACAGAGACGGTTAGAGGAAGATTACACGGGAAGAAATCTATGATATTTTTTTAGCGAAAATAAAATGCTGACAGGATTAGCCACTCACCACTAATCGACGAAAACCTGATAAACCATTTTTCCTTTCGCGGTCATTTTGTTTTCGCTAATTAGACCATTTTCGCTTTTCTTTCTTTCACATTTTTTTTATTTTCTCACATTAATTAAAGTAAATGTGAGATACTTTTTCCTGGGGGAATATTATTAATTTTATAAGTAGTTTTAGTAGTGATGATTACTTAAGATCTGAAGTAATAGTCGTTTGAGAAAGATGAAGAAATTGTTAGTGTGGAATTGTAAGGTTTTTCGAGTGTGTTTGTGAGTTAGTGACGTGGTTTGTTAGGTTAAGTTTGTGAGCTGGTGACGTGGTTTGTGAGTTGGTGACGTGGTTTGTTACTTAGGTTATGTTTGTGAACTGGTAACGTGGTTTGTTAGGTTAAGTTTGTGAGTTGGTGACGTGGTTTGTTAGGTTAATTTGGAGTTAGTGACGTGGTTTGTTAGGTTAAGTTTGTGAGTTGGTGACTTAGTTTGTTAGTTAGGTTATGATTGTGAACTGGTGACGTGGCTTGTGAGTTGGTGACGTGGTTTGTTAGTTAGGTTAAGTTTGTGAGCTGGTGACGTGGTTTGTTAGAAAGTTAGAAGTCGTGCTTTTAAAGGTTCGCCTGCCAGATACTTCTCAGGCTCGAAATTCATTTAAAAAGTTGGAGTTTTGTGAGTTCTCGAAATTTCCATATTGGCACAAATTTTAGATTGGCGAAGTAAGTTGATTTTGAAACTAAATTGGCGGGATTTTTTCTTTTTTATCTGAGTTGATTTTTCTTTGGCGAGGTACATTTTTTGTTTAGGATTTTTTTCGTAAAGTTAATTTTCTAGTTCGTGTTTTTAGTCCATGTTTACGCTGCCTGAGTCCCGGGTCACGTGACTCGCAGGCCACACCCCAAGCTCTCAACCCACACCCAAGGCTCTTAACTCACACTCCAAGGCTCTCAATCCACACCCCAAGACTCAACTCCCCCCAAGGCTCTCAACTCACACTCCAAGATTCACAACTCACACCCCAAGACTTCAAACCCACACCCCAAGACTCCACACCCGCTCTCAACTCACACCCCGCTTCAATCCACACCCCAGGCTCTCAACTCACACCCCAAGACTCACAACTCACACCCCAAGGCTCTCAACTCACACCCCATGGCCTCAAACCACACCCCAAGACTCACAACTCACACCCCAAGGCTCCTCAACCTCATAAGACTCACAACACACCCCAAGGCTCTCAACTCACACCCCAAGATTCAACCACCCCTGCTCTCAACTCACACCCCAAGGCTCTCAACTCACACCCCAAGGCTCTCAACCCACACCCCAAGACTCACAACTCACCCAAGGTTACCACCCCAGTTCAACTCACACCCCAAGGCTCAACCCACACCCCAAGACTCCAACTCACACCCCAAGGCTCAACCCACACCCCAAGACTCACAACTCACACCCAAGACTCACAACTCACACCCCAAGGCTCTCAACCCACACCCCAAGATTCACAACCACACCCAAGGCTCTCAACCCACACTCCAAGGCTCTCAACCCACACCCCAAGGCTCTCAAACCCACACCCCAAGACTCACAACTCACACCCAAGACTCAACCCAAGACTCAACCCACACCCCAAACTCTCACCCCAAGGCTCTCAACCACACCCCAAGGCTCTCAACCCCACCCAAGCTCAACCACCCAAGACTCCACCCAAGGCCTCCCACACAAGCTCTCAACCACACCCCAAGGCTCTAACCCACACCCCAAGGCCTCAACTCACACCCCAAGACTTCAACTCACACCCCAAGACTCACAATCACACCCCAAGGCTCACAACTCACACCCAAGGCTCTCAACTCACACCTGAGGCTCTCAACTCACACCTGAGGCCTCAAACCCACACCCTCATAGACCTAGTTAATTATCTCCTCACCCTTTAACTCTTATGTGTGTGTCCTAACTTAAGCCTTGTGGAAGAGAGTTGGCGTGACACCGACCTTACACACACACACACACACACACACACACACACACACACACAAAGGCTCTCATGCAAAGGCCCCACGTAACCTCTTAATAGAACCAATAAAACACATTATCATCCCTTCCCTAACTTGAGAAAAGACTTTACGAGACTTTCAACAATTGTGTCGTAACTATGAACTCATTAGAAGTCTTCCCACGTTTTAAGTTAGAGAGACAATTATAGTGTATGAAATCTTTATATCGTACGAAACTTTAAGAATTTATTTGTATCGTAGTTTTGGTATTTTATTGACTTAAGTTTCCAATTAAAGGGGGATTTTAAGGAAGGATTTTTTTTTTTTTTTAGTGAATGGAAAAAAGAAGTGGTCTTGGCTGTTGATATATGCTACCAGTCTTTTGTGACCCGATTTTGTGTGACCTAGTTTTTGTGACCTAGTTCTGTGTGACCCAATTCTCTCCAGCCACACAACTATTCCTACGCCGAGAAAGTTAAAGAGTTATTAATATGATAATCTTGGCTTAATAACTCTTAAATGACTGACTGACTGACTGACTGACTGACTGGAGTAATAAACAGTTAACTGGTGAATGATATAGAAGCTAAGAGTGTGAAAGACATCTGACTGTTAGATTTAGAGTGTTTCATTCAGCAACATCTGTACCATAATTAGCTTGGATATAAAATACAGGTACAGTAACTCCCAGGTGGTTACAGTATCATACAGGTAATGCCATAACCTCGATAAATACGGATACAGTTAATACCAAAATCATACTCACTGACGCATTTTCCCTTGAGGATCGATTCTCCAATTACATTTACATATACGAACGCTTGTGTAGGTCATTTGCATACAGACGTGGCAGCAGAAGGAATACCTTACGATATAACTGAAGGAGGTTCTCGCCTGGGCCGCTCCTTAACACCGAGGGAAACAGGGCCTAAGAAATTACATGTAAATTTTATGGTCAATGTTGAGTAGTGAGGAGGTGAGAGGTGAGCTGTTGATGGATGGCTGATGAGAGGTGAGGGGTGAGGGGTGAGAGGTGAGGGGGAGAGGTGAGAGGAGGGGTGAGGGGGAGAGGTGGGAGGTGAGGGGTGAGGGGTGAGGGGTGAGAGGTGAGGGGTGAGAGGAGGGGAGGTGAGAGAAGAGGAAAGAAAGGAGAGAGGAGGAGGAGGAGGAGGAGGAGAGAGAGTAAAAGAGAAAGTGGTGAGGATAGGAGAGAAGGAGGAGAGCGGTAAGAGGTGGAGAGAAGGAGGTAAAGTAGGAGAGAACAAGAGGAAGAAAGAGTGAAGGAGAGGAAGAGAAAGAGGAAACACAGGAAGAGATGAGGGTGAAGAGTATTGGCTTATGTAGGAGAGGATGAAGAGAGAGAGAGAGAGAGAGAGAGAGAGAGAGAGAGAGAGAGAGAGAGAGAGAGAGAGAGAGAGAGAGAGGAACTCCTACCATCGCCAGCACGAGCAATCAACAGCACCTGGTGACCCTCTCAGTAAAGTCAGGGTAGCACACGCCCGGCTCTCACTCGCCTTCTGCCAGCACGGGAGAAGAGTGGGATGAGAGGGAGTGTACGTAGAGGAATGTAGATTAAGGACAGACAGACAGACATACAGACAGAAATAGATACACAAATAGATATATAGATAGATGGATAGATAAATTGATGGATAGATAGATAGATGGATATTGGAGAGTGGCGGATATTCCCACCCTTGCTCTCCCTCCGTAATCTTTGAACACGTATATATAAGCTACGGTCATTACCACCCATATTTCACATACTCCACACTTATAAACTTATCTTAATCACCCATGACCTTTGACCTTTATATGGGAGGTCAATGAAATAGTAATATGACTAATATGACCCCACAGATATTAATTCAAAACATACGGGAATGTTTTGAAACAAGTCGAGGTTTTGTGTTTAAATAAGCGACTTAGTGGGACTGAATCATCGTCTTAGTACTAACTTGTCAGGCTCTTAACTCTTAATTGTTCTTATTATAAATATTTACCATAACTTAAGATGTGTTAATGTACTTGACTCTTTGACTTTAACTAAAACACAAATCTAACTCAAGTATAATATCAAAATTATACTTAGACTGTTGTTTAAGTAGATATGCTCACTTAACACTACTTAGAAGACGATACTAAGCTGTCCCCATAACTTGTATGAAGTGAATGTATCAAGTTAAAGTATAGAGTTTTAGCATAATTTAGGTTAGGTTAGGTTAGGTTAGGTTAGGTTAGGTTAGGTTAGGTTAGGTTAGGTTAGGTTAGTTAGGGTTAGGTTAGGGTTAGTTTGTGTTAGGCTAAGCTACCTAGGGTGGGTTAAGCTATGTTGGGTTAGTGTGTTAGTTTGTTAGGCTAGGGGTGGGTTGCTTCATAAGGTTAGTGTGTGTTATGCTGAAACAGTGTGGGTTTATGTTGGGTTAGTGTGTGTTAGGCTAAGCTACCTAGGGTGGGTTGCTTATGTTGGGTTAGTGTGTGTTAGGCTAAGCTAGGCTAGGGTGGGTTAAGCTATGTTGGGTTAGTGTGTGTTAGGCTAAGCTAGGCTAGGGTGGGTAGAGTGTTTCCTCTGTGCTGGACATTGTTATTCAGCTTCCGGTTACGCGTCTCATTTGCATACTGTATGGTGTTCAATATTCTCACTGCCTCCTTACTGTGTCGTGTGAGAGAGAGAGAGAGAGAGACACATTCATCTTGTCTTGGAGAGAGAGAGAAACACATATCTGGCTCTGCTGTGAGAGAGAGAGAGAACACATATCTGGCTCTTGTTCTGTAGAGAGAGAGAGAACACATATCTGGCTCTTGTCTTGTGAGAGAGAGGAACACATATCTGGCTCGTCTTGGAGAGAGAGAGAGAACACATATCTGGCTCTTGTCTTGTGAGAGAGAGAGAGAAAACACATATCTGGCTCTTGTCCTAGAGAGAGAGAGAAAACACATATCTGGCTCCTTGTCTTGTAGAGAGAGAGAGAACACATATCTGGCTCTTGTCTTGTGAGAGAGAACACATATCTGGCTCTTGTCTTGTGGAGAGAGAGAGAGAGAACACATATCTGGCTCTTGTCTTGTGAGAGAGAACACATATCTGGCCTTTGTCTTGTGGAGAGAGAGAGAAAACACATATCTGGCTCGTCTTGTAGAGAGAACACATATCTGGCCTGTCGAGAGAGAGAGAGAGAACACATTCGGCTCTTGTCTAGAGAGAGAACACATATCTGGCTCTTGTCTTGAGAGAGAGAGAGAGAACACATATCTGGCTCTTGTCTTGTTCCTTTGTCTTGTCTGGCTCTTGTGTTAGGTTAATATGACCTATTGGATAAACATTACCTAATATTTCTGGATATAAAAAGGAAAATGACCTTATATGTAATATTTGACCTGACCTGACCTGACCTGACCTGACCTACCCTACAGGGACAACGAGTCTGGGAACATCCTGGACAACCTCCTCTCACGTATGGAACAGTACGCCAACAACCTGGAGGCACTGGTGCAGGAGCGTACAGCTGACTACCTGGAGGAGAAGCGGCGCTGTGAGGAGCTACTCTACCAGCTCCTGCCCAAGTGAGTACCCTACCTCCTCCTCCCCCTCCTCCTCCTCCTCCTCCTCCTCCTCCTCCTCCTCCTCCTCCTCCTCCTCCTCCTCCTCCTCCCACTACTACTACTACTACTACTGCTATAAAAAGTGGCCCAGCCTCCCCAATAGCCACACCTTCCACCATTTTTATTACCTAATATTAAATATCCTAATACATAAGTAACTATCCTAGCTGTGTTGAGTTAGTTGAGCCGCAGATCATATTAGTGACTGTACTCATAGTCAATATCTGAGTGTTGTCGGCTGGGCATTTCGTTCCCTGAGGCAGCGCAAAGCAGACCCAAGGAGAGAAGGACAGTCAACATCTCATCCAGGCTGTAACATAACTTCTGGGCGAGTCTGGCGTAGAAACATCTTGCACTTGGTCCCATCCCACCAGAGGTTGTGAACACTAGAGGAGTGAAGCTGCCCTGATCAACGTTCTGAATTCTCTCCCCATATGCCCTTATCTTGTCGTTCTCGTTCCTCCTGTGCTACTACTCTTCCTCCTCCTCTTCAGCTGCTACTACTACTCTTTCTCCTCTTCCTCCTTCTTCTACTACGCCCCCTCCTCCTCCCCATCCTCCTTCTTCCTACTACGCCTCCTCCTCCTCCTTTATTTTCCTTCTTCTTGGCTTAGCTTTGATAGAGGTTGAGGTGTCATCTCAGTGTGTCATGGTGAAGCTTCTGACACGCCGGATATAGGACCGTGTCATAAGGGTGAGGGCGGTGGCGATGATGTGATATACGTCTGTCAGAGTGTCAATTACCACCTCTATCCTCCCTCCCTCCCTCTTTCTATTCACCATTCTTCCCTTTCCTCCTTTCTCCTCCCCCCTTCCCAGTACCCTCCCTCTCACCCCTCCCCAGTCACCACTCCCTTCCTCACCCTCCCCAGCACCCTACCCTTCCTCACCCCTCCCCCAGTACTCTCCTCACCCCTCCCCCAGATCCTCCCCTTCCTCCTCCCAGTACTAATGCATTAATTAAACCCTATCCTCTCCCCACCATTCCTTCTTCCCCACCTCCCCATCCACCCACCCCTACGTTTCCTCTCCATCCCACCTCCTCCTCTTCCTTTCTTCATTCTATCTTTCCCATTCTTCCTCTCTATCTCCCGACGTCACCTCTTCCCTTCCCTCCCCTGTCTCCTTCTTCCCCCCGTCTCCTTCTCTCCCTTCCTCCCCCCCCTCCCCTTCTCTCTCCCTCGTCACCCCCTCCTTCCCGTCCTTCTCTCTCCCCTCGTCACCTCTCTCCCTTCCCTCCCCCCCTGTCTCCTTCTCTCCCCCTCTCCTTCTCTCCTTCCTCCCCCCTGTCTCTTCTCTCCTCGTCACCTTCCTTCCCTCCCGTCTCTTCCCTCCCCCGTCTCCTTCTCTCCCCCCAACCTCCCCCTGTCTCTGTGGCTTCTGTCCTCATAATTAGAGCGACAAGGAGAGAAGATCAAGAGAAAGAGAGCAGAGATAGAGGGAGAAGAGAGAGACAGATGGAGAGAAGAGAGAGGCGGAGATAGTGAAGAGGTGACGGGAGAAAAGAAGAGAGAGAGAGAGAGAGAGAGAGAGAGAGAGAGAAAAAAAAAAGAAGAGACAGACAGACTGTGAAGAGAAGGAAAATTAGTGAGGGAAAGAATATAGAGATGGAGGAAGGAAGAAGGATGGAGGAAGGAAGAGGAAGGGAGGAAGGAAGAGGGAGGGAGGGAGGAAGAGGAAGGGAGGAAGGAAGGGATGGAGGAAAGAAGGGGGAAGGAGGGATGGAGGAAGGAAGAGGGAGGAGGAAGAGGATGGAGGGAGGAAGAGGGATGGAGGAAGGAAGAGGGAGGGAGGGAAGGGAAGGAGGAAGGAAGGATGGAGGAAAGAAGGGGGGGGGAGGAGGATGGAGGAAGGAAGGAAGAAGAGGGAGAGGGAAACACGGGAATAGGAGGAGTGGAGGTAAATAACAACACTCCCTCCTCCTCCTGATCCTCCTCCTCCTCCTCCTGATCCTCTTCCTCGTCCTCCTGATCCTCCTGATCCTCCTCCTCCTCCTCCTCCTCCCTCCTCCTCCTCCTCCTCCTCCTCCTCCTCCTCCTCCTCCCTGATCCCTCCTCCTCCCTCTTCCTCCTCCTCCTCCTGATCCTCCTCCTCCCTCCCCGTCCTCCTTCCCCTCCCTCCTCCTCCTCCTCCTCCTCGTCCTCCTCCTCCTGATCCTCCTCCTCCTCCTCCTCCTCCCTCCTCCCCTGCTCCCTCCTCCTCCTCCTCCTCCTCCCTCCCTCCTGCTCCTCCTCCTCCCTCCTGCTCCTCCTCCTCCTGATCCTCCTCCTCCTCCTCCCCTCCTCCTCCTCCTCCTCCTTCTCCTCCTCCTCCTCCCTCCTCCTCCCTCCTGCTCCTCCCTCCCTCCTGATCCCTCCCTCCTCCTCCCTCCCTCCTCCTCCTCCTCCCTCCCTCCTCCTCCCTGATCCCTCCTCCCCTGCTCCTCCTCCTCCTCCTCCTGATCCTCCTCCTGCCCTCCTCCTCCTCCCTCCTGATCCTCCTCCTCCTCCTCCTGATCCCTCCCCCTCCTCTCCTCCTGATCCCTCCTCCTCCTCCTCCTCCTCCTCCTCCTGCCTCCTCCTCCTCCTCCTCCTCCTCCTCCTCCTCCTCCTCCTCCTCCTCCTCCTCCTCCTCCTCCTCCTGATCCTCCTCCTCCTCCTCCTCCTCCTCCTCCTCCTCCTCCTCCTCCCTCCTCCTTCCTCCTCCTCCTCCTCCTCCCACCTCACTTAATCAACGCAACACCTCATAAGAATGGGACTTTTATCTCTCCCCTGTGTTAACTATCCCCTGCCCATCCAGGAGAAGAAAAGAGGCAGGGAGAGGGATATGAAGGGCAGAGAGAGAGAGAGAGAGAGTGTTTGTGTTATCTTGTGTTGTGTGTGTGTGTGTGTGTGTGTGTGTGTGTGTGTGTGTGTGTGTGTGTGTGTGTGTGTGTCTGTGTGTGTGTGTGTGTGTGTGTGTGTGTATGGTCACTAATTAAACATGTGTGTTTGGCAGGTCGGTGGCAAGTCAGCTGATCGCAGGTAAGAGTGTGGTAGCAGAGACCTACGACTGTGTCACCATCTACTTCAGCGATATTGTTTTACTACTCTCTCTGCCCAGTCAACGCCCTTAGAGGCATGTACGCATCCTACCTCTCGCTAATTACTGTTATTTTACGTCCCTACTCCTCGTTTAATTACTCTTACCTACGTCCTACTCTTCGTTAATTACTCTTATATACGTCCTATTCCTCGCTAATTACTGTATATATGTCCTACTCTTCGTTAATTACTCTTACTTAGGTCCTATACCTCACTAATTACTTATTTACATCCTACTCTTCGTTAATTACTCTCATTTACGTCCTACTCTTCGTTAATTACTCTTATTTACGTCCTATTCCTCGCCAAATCCTCTTATATACGTCCTACTCGCTAATTACTAATATTTACGTCCTATTCCTCGCTAATTACTCTTATTTACGTCCTACTCTTCGTTAATTACTCTTATATACGTCCTATTCTCGCTAATTACTGTTATATATGTCCTACTCTTCGTTAATTACTCTTACTTAGGTCCTATACCTCACTAATTACTTATTTACGTCCTATTCCTCGCTAATTACTCTTATTTACGTCCTACTCTTCGTTAATTACTCTTATATACGTCCTATTCCTCGCTAATTACTGTTATATATGTCCTACTCTTCGTTAATTACTCTTACTTAGGTCCTATTCCTCGCTAATTACTCTTACCTACGTCCTACTCGCTAATTACTAATATTTACGTCCTATTCCTCGCTAATTACTTATTTACGTCCTACTCTTCGTTAATTACTCTTACTTAGGTCCTATTCCTCACTAATTACTTATTTACGTCCTATTCCTCGCTAATTACTCTTACCTACGTCCTACCCACTCACTACAGGTACACCTTCATAATAAGACGTACTGAATATAATCACCAACTTAATTATCAGTAAGCTACACCATAATTAATTAAGAGGTGTCCGGTGGCTGAGTGGAAATATCCCTCGCTTCTAGTCCTAAGGTTCATTGGTTCGATTCCCGCCGTCCGCTCAGCAGTAAATGACTACTTAAAGTTTACAGGTGAAGGTCAGTCATGTGTAGTGCCCGCCAAACTTATGTACTAAAGGCTTAGTATACAGTGTGTCGAATTCCTTATAATTACAGGTATATTTTTATCATAATTACAGGTAAAATCTGCTACTAATTACAGGTATCGAGTCAATAATTACACGTATGAGTTATTTATTGTTTTAAGGTCAATTTAAGTTCATTGGTTTTATTGTGTTGTAGTTTTACTGGGGCCACAATCATCCCTAGGGCCACAATCATCCCTAGGGCTATTAGTCGACACAAGGGCCACAGTCGACACTAGAGCCACAATCATCCCTAGGCTAGACACAAGGCCACAGTCGACACTAGAGCCAATCATCCCTTAGGCGACATAAGGGCCACAGTCGACACTATAGGCCACAATCATCCCTAGGGCTACAATCAAAACAGGGCCACAATACGACTCACAGGTATGGTGGTAATAAGGCGCCCCGCTGTCCTGTAGAAGGTCTCTCTATCTTATGAGGATACGAGTTTGAAGTGAGAGTGAGAGAAGGAAGGGTAGGGTGAGAGGAGGAAGAAGAGGGAAGGTGTGAAGAGGAAGATGAGGGAAGGTGTGAAGAGGAAGATGAGAAAGTAAATCTTGTGAAGAGAGAGAGAGAGAGAGAGAGAGAGAGAGAGAGAGAGAGAGAGTACGATCTGAGTGACATAAAAGACCTCTTAGTTGGTGGAGATAGACAGAAATAAAGAAACAAATAGACAGAATACATTGGATATTGGTACGGCAGCCGTATTGACGGGCTGTGCAGTTAATGGAACGGCAGAGAATCGCACATGCGCAAAATTCGGTACGTGGTGCTTCCTGCCGCTTGGGCACGTATGCTTACCAGTGGACATAGACGTTTGCATACGGCTGTCGTATCTTAGAAAGGAGATACTAGCGCCTGGGAAGATAATGGAAGCATAATGTGTTGTCTAATGGTAGACCCTGCTGCCATATGGCTCACAAAAATTGTGACCAAGTCCCAGGTTGTCTTGCCACAGGTTAAGGAGGTGGTCTGTATTGGCAAGCCTAGGCTTATGGTATTGGGTAAAGGTGGAGGAGACGGATATCACCAGAAATAACTTTTGAAATTGAGCCAAAATTTCGCGAGATACGATTTGCATGATACCGAACATAAAAATGGAAACGAGAATTCACAAACCTAACAGAAACCTTCCTAACCTCATCTAACTCTCTGTCTAATATGGTGAGGGGCCCGGTGTTAGGAAGTTAGGTATTTGTTTACTGAAAGATTCAAGGATTCCAGTTACCGCATGAAATTAAAGATTGTAGAATGTTTTTAATTTAATTTTCCACGTAATACATAAGAGTAAATGAGAAACTGGACAATCAGAGTGACTGTGTGTGTGTGTGTGTGTGTGTGTGTGTGTGTGTGTGTGTGTGTGTGTGTGTGTGCGTGTGTGCGTGCGTACTTGTCTTCTTCGCATGAGTTTGAGGAGTACGAATGGTGGTTGGTGGAGAATGATGACATATTAAAAGCTTATTTGAAGCTTTAATATCATTGAGTGTTAGAGATTACTGGAGTAAGTTAGTGTGCAAGTGTTTATAGAAACTAATGATATAACCAAACTGATGCAAGTACTTTGATTTATTACATGGTTTCCTTAGACTCGTGGTCATGATAGTAACTACTTTACATAATCATCCATTTTACATAAACCTCTTGGGCCCAAACTCTTTCTGTGTCTCATACGCTGGTTCTTGACTTTTTCAATAGATTTATCAAACTTCCATATCTCATCTCATACCTCCCACATGTTACTGTAATTATTATTTTGTGATTTATTGATGATCACAGTTTAATGGATCCTTCCGGAGAGTATAATGTATATCACTTTTGTACAGTCGCAGAAAAAAAAACTCCTGTCTGTTCTCTGTCCTATCCATGAACCCTGAGACTCATGAACCCTGAGACTCATGAACCCTGAGACTCATGAACCCTGAGACTCATGAACCCTGAGACTCATGAACCCTGAGACTCATGAACCCTGAGACTCATGAACCTGTGAATCCGAGACATGACACAGTGTTAGGCCCATAGATGGTGCACTGTGTGATGTCTCGAATTCACAGGTTCATGCGGCTCAGGGGTCATGCGGCTCAGGGTTCATGGTTGGGATAGAGGACTGACAAAACTTTTTTCTATGACTGTATACCTTATAATTCTATCTAGTATTGTACAGTTAAAAATTTTCTTCAATATTTTCAGGTGGTTGATCTGCTCAATGACTTGTACACTCGTTTTGATGCCATCATTGAAAATTTTGATGTGTATAAGGTAAGTGAATGTGCAAGTCTTCCCACAGTATGGTAGCTAAATATTGAAATGACAAGTGATAAGAAAATGCAGAGAGAGAGAGAGAGAGAGAGAGAGAGAGAGAGAGAGAATATTATTAACTCTAAAACAGAATATCCAGGAAGGGAACATTTTAAGCCATTGTAAAACATTGATGATAGTGAGAGATTACTGCTATGCTTAAAGGAAACATTGATGCTTTTAGAGAGAATAGTATATACAGTATAAAGGTTATTGAAGATATCAGAAGTTGCTTGTACATGGTCCTAATAATTTAGGAATATATTGGTACCCAGTTAGGTTAGAACAGTACTGTACTGTAAACTATGTGATGAGGTGTACTTATTTGTTTTCTGAGACGCAGTATATTTAGTTATCAGAAAGTGGATTGTAAATATGGTACAGTACTATATTAGCCTTATGTTTTGGTAAAGAAGTACTGATTAAAAAAGATTTTGAGAGTTCATATAGAAAATTGAATTGATGAAGAATTGGTCATTAGCTGCATTAAGCTGCTCTTGGAAAAACCCTTATTCGTGTACAAATAAAAATCCCTCAATTGAGTCATAAAATTCAAGCATTACACTCTATAAATGTTAGCTAAAAGTCTGCTCTCAACTAAAGAATTTCTCGGATGCATTTAGTATCTTTTCCTCCTAGTCTCTCAGACCCTTTCTCAGACTGATTCCCCAGCTCAAAGTCCTCACAGTCTTGTATGTCCTGAACACAGTCATCACCAGCCTCCAACACATATTATTACTAACAAATTCCTTAAAAGTATCGGTGCTCTTTATTCTCCTATTACCAGGTGGAGACCATTGGTGATGCATACATGGTGGTCTCTGGGTTACCAATGAGGAACGGGACACAGCACACCCGGGAGATTGCCAGCATGTCCCTGGCACTCCTGAGGGAGGTGGAGACATTCACCATCCGGCACCGGCCACAGGACAAGCTCAAGCTGAGGATTGGCATGCACACAGGACCGTGTGTGGCTGGTGTGGTGGGCCTCAAGATGCCACGCTATTGTCTCTTTGGTGATACTGTCAACACAGCCTCACGCATGGAGAGCAATGGACAACGTAAGATGATAATTCATTAGTATAAATATAGTCATTCACCCATTTTCCAACCTAAGTGTGACCACAGGTAGGTCACAAAGTCAACATTAGATGATGGAATCTCCCAAGAAAATTAATTATTTGTCATATACAGTACATGAACTTGCCAAAATGGATACTGAATTTTTCTGCAAGAACTTAAAAGAATGCATTGTACAGTACTATACACTTGATCTCGTATCCCCTGTAGTTCAATTTGTCATGGGATTTATGAATGTGTGTTTATCTGCAATCTAAGGGTTAAAACTGAGGTTATTCACAGCAGTAGGGCTCGACCTCCTCACAAAACTATTTACAAACCAATTTTATATAAGTTGTGCCATATCTAGGCTTAATTTTGGGCTTACCAGTGAATAGGGGCTCAAGGCCCTTTAAATTCCAGAGAAGCTGGGAATGATACACAAGTAATGGCTTGTATTCTAGTGTTACCCTTGCATTGTACAGTACAAGATATATTCTCATGATGCACTACAAACAGGGAAGATTAAAAATGTGGTGCACAGCCACATGCTTGCAAACCTTATCTCAGTTTAATTTAAATTTGGGTGGTGAAATGTAAACCACATATGAATCTAGTTCTTGTGAAGCCAATATATATGAAGGCAACCTGAACTATTATTATGTAAGTGTATACAATAATAATGGTTCCATGGTTATCCACTTTATTTTGCTCATTTGTGCATAATTATGTACCCTTTATTTCACACCATATTGATCTATACTTTTTTCCACAGCCCTGAAGATCCATGTGTCCCCAACAACACAAAAGATGTTAGCAGAAAACTACCCATCGTTTATTCTAGACTTACGAGGGGAGGTCGATATGAAGGTATTGTTCCTCAAATTATTGTGCAGCACTCTCTGGGGCAGATCCAAGGGGGTTCAAGGGGTCCAGACCCCTCTTTTCATCAGAAAATTCAAATATTTTTTCTTTAATGCAGTAATGTACTCAAGCATTTTTGTTTAATAAAAAGTAATTACTTTTGACATCAGAATATCTCTTAATAACAAGTGCACATGGCTCCAAAATGCCCATGATATTGGCCGGATTTAAAAAAAAATCTGGGGGGCTTACAGTGCCTCCGACCCCAAACCCCCCAGCTGGGTGGGCTCGCTGTGTTCACCATGTTCCCCCACCCACAATTTCATGAAACCTTCCCCCCTTTGGTACTTCTGGATCCACCCCCTGACTCTGTATATGTATAACAGTAAAATTATCAGTGGTAAAATTGTTGATAATCTTGGTATAGATATCATTGTGTTAGGGAATATTTGTCAATGCGTAGTAATACCTGTACTGATTACAGGAGGCAGAAATTGAAATTTTATGAAAATTAAAATGTAGAAGATAAGAAAATTGGCAGTTAACAGAAAATTTATTTCAGTGCTTGAGAGATGAGTAAAGTAAGAATACTCACTAGCATTTTATTCATTCACTATAGATGACAATTTTCTCCAACAGGGCAAAGGAAGAATGAACACCTATTGGCTGCTCGGGAAGCAAGAAGCTGACTCTTAAAGAGATGTCACAAGTCATCTTCAGCCTCCAGAACTCTTCTTATTTCTTGGAACTGACCGCTTCTACCCTCTACACATATAATGTTCAGTGTTAAGAGTCTCACCAACTGGCTGCTGTAGACCCACAGTGCTCCATTCTCTGGAGCTACAACACCATTTGTAAAACTAAATGAAAAAGGCCTATTTCATTGCTGACAATTTTGTAAATGCACTATGCATGAGGACTACATCAGTGTCAGTTAAAATAAAACATGCAAACTCACACGTACATACATACATACATACATACATACATACATGTGCACACACGCACTTCCAGGACATATTAATCCTTCTCTATACATGTTGTATGTTGATGTGACTACCTGTAGATTGTCTTGTCTCTGATGTAGTGTAATTGTGTTGCCACAATGTGACTGAACCACAAGAAACACCAGTACTGTACTTATTCATCTGTTAATAAGTATACTACAATAGAAATTGTATTATTTCTATATAACACTAAATACTGCTCATCATAATAACATATTTGTAATTTTCTTATTAATCAATAGTGAAGTTACTTATGTAGCTGAATTTTTTTGTAATTTAGTAGTTTCCCTTTACTTAAAAAGCAGTTCACCAGTGAAAGTGAAATAGGTACAGTAATGTAAATATGTGACTCCATAGTACATTAAACCCTCACATATATGGATCCACCACATAGTGTGAATTTGGACATGTGTGGAAGGAATCTAAAAAAATAATTACATTATAAGAATAGTAAATTGCTTTAAAGCGTTGACCATCATGAAGCAGATGTTAATTTTATAGAGGTGTGGCTCTTGGTCATGAGCTGAAGCTGTTGTAAGCTTTACCATGGATAAAAAGTCAGAAACATCAGGTTGGTAAGCTGAGGTTGGTTACCAACACTGTGGTGTGAATAAATACAAAAACACATAATTTTGTGCAAACAGAAGGTTGATAAAGAATTAGCTAATGCTACTTCGGTCTATATTCTGCTTTATTTTGGTGTAGACTGTTGAGGACTTAATGGTTTAACAAGGTGCCTGAACAAGGGACGTGGAAGGCAATCAAGATTGGAAGACTGCTTTTTAAAGAAGTTAGGTATACAGTGCTAGTTACACTAATGTGTTAAATACAGATCCACTTAGTCAGATGTGTTCTGCACAGAAATCCATGTTATATTTCCCTTTCCTTCAGTTAAATGAAATTAATGAGGTTTCATTGTATTGTACAGTTACACACAGAATTTTGTGGTTGACCCAAGGTGGAGGGTATGGAGCCTATCCTACCATTACTGGACGGTGAATCACTGTCTAGATGACCCTCAACACGCAAAGTAGCACCTGTATAGTTTAATTGATTTATAGCAGTTTTAACTCTGTAGAATGACATAATTAAACATAACAGTATTACTCAAGTCCTTCTACAGAGTTAAAACTGCTATAAATCAATTAATAAACTACACCAGTGCTAGTTTGTGTTAGGTGCCGGGACGGATTGACACTGACTCGCAGTCCAGTAAGGGTGGGACAGGTGCCATACACTCCACCTTGGGTGAATCACGAAATTCTGTGTGCAACTGTACATTAATGTACAGTCCATATGTTAATGTTTAATGTTAAAGAACATTATGATGTATTATAGATAAATATACAATTTGCATTAAGCCAAACTTTTCACATTCACAAATAGGTGTTGGTCCCAAAAATATCACATGTACTGTACTAGGTTATACTGTACTGCAATATAAATACTGCACTGTTGTTCATACTTTCGGCAAAAAATAATAACTTTGAAGTACTGTATAAAATTTAACAAATCTTTCTTAATTATTATATTACTCATAAACTACTAGATTTTTGCTTTCTGAAAATAATTTAAAATTTAGCATAAGTAAATTATATGGTGGACGTCAGTGTTGTTTGACCTCTATCCAGCTGGAGTCTTACTGTACTGTACTCTATTTGTGCTTGCATCTATTTTCATATACTACTGTACAATACTGTATTTTTAACAGTTATATTTGGTCAGACAGGTTTTTAATCCCTTCTATCTGCTACAGACAACACTGCTCATTCCAGTAGTCATTTGGTACAAGAAATCTGATATCATTGATCGGTTCTTCCAAAAATCATTGAACGTGTTCCTGACAATTTTGCATTTATGACCTATTTATGATGGCTATTGCAGTTCAGTGGCAGAAATAAATCATTATTCAGGGTTTGCTAAAGGGGGTTGGCCTACTCGCCTAAATTTTGTCCAAGTGCAAATGAAAATACACCAATGAAATTTATACCAATTTGAGCTCCACCCTTTCCTATTAGGGGGGGACAGGTACAGTATTACAAATTGGTTTATTCTGTTCTCATATACTGTATTTTTGCTATTACCTTAGAGAATATTTTTGAGTTAGTATTGTCAAAGCCTAAATGATATCTACTGTACATTTAGTCGCCTATGAATGCAAGCTTTTCACACTTACTTCAGAATACAATACATGACTTTAAAATTTCACACATCATACAACGAGTATACTTAAGGGCAGTGATCAAGAGTGCTGTGTCATGTAAGTCTCATCAGGGGTTATGGTAATTTTTTTATTAACTTTGGTACTGTTCATATTATTCCCCCCTCTTGATATAGGCCAGCTGATAAGTTCATATTGTTATTTTATCCTTACTGTACAGTGTATCCAGATGTTTTCCATCATGTAAAATTAACAAGAATGATTGATTTCTCTTTGGGTCTTAAGGTCTAAGGTACCCCAGTATTTAGTAACATTTGTTTGACTCACTAAAATAATGTGTACAGCCAAGACATACTGTTCACAAAATAAGGCAAGTATAGAGTTGTGTAGGTCCACTGAAAATTACTATTGAGTGTAACCTATTTTTGTTAATTATAATAAATAATGAATAGCCAGGTTATTGCTGTGATTTACAATGAAACTCATTTTTGGGAAATCGCCAAGATGGATTGTGTTCCCTTGGAATGTTATAATAGCTTCCATAAGAAATAATTTAAGGCAGCATCATTATGGAGTTATAATTACATATGGTGCATTAGGTGAACATTTATCTGTATTATAGATATTAATAAGATTAGCCAAATCATGAAAAAATATTTTCCTGCTCCCAGAAATAATTTATATGTATATGTGCCATTTTAAATATGTTTATGTGAACTTCATTTAGAATATAGTATTTGTGTACACAGATTATTGTAAACGTTGACAGTTAAGCGTACGTTAGGGCCCGAAATTTGATAAATGTCTGTAATTCCAAAAAGTGTTGCTTTAATTTTTAGTCTTTCATTTAATATGTGTAACATAGGTATGCTAAGATATACACTTAGAGTATTAAATGTAATGTTTATGACTGAGGTAATACATTAAGTCTTCACTTAGGTTACTCTAAACACAGATGTCATTAATTTTAGATAAGGTTTTATATTTTCTTCCAGATAACAAGTCAGGGTTAATAAGAAAAGGAAGCTCATACTCATTCTCTCCTTCACTCATTTACCGCCTCCATTAAGTAACCTCACCTTCATGTTAACATCATTCATGTCATCACTGATCTTTTAACTAAAACAAGTATAGGGTAAAATAAAAGACGAAGGAAAGCTTGTGGAACATCATTAGTACAACCATTACAGTAGGAGCTTTGTTATCTGGGTGGGTGTCAATTAGCCAAATATGATGGTTAAGAGAGTTACTCTTACCAAAGGAATATACGTATAAGAGGTAGTCCTCACCAGTCAAGTAGTAGTAGCAGCGTAGTACTCTGTCTTGAAGGTTCTATTGACTATAATTGTACAGTTATACAGTATTTAATATAATGTGGGTAGTCACATATTGGACATAAACATTTAAAAATAATGCATATGTAACAGTACACATAAAACTACAGTGTCCAGTGTCCAGTGTCCATAAATATGTAATTAAATATCTGTGTTGGTGGTTATTAAAAATGATGGTTACAAGCATGCCAGATAATTAAGCTTTTACTGTATTTACATAATATCATATGACCTCTAATAACCTATCAGATTGCAATGACTTCACATGACCTAATTTATGTTCTATATACAGTATACTTAATCCCACTCTATTCCAATCCTTTTTTTCTGTTTAGTCATTTGTAGAAGGTAGTTACCAAGATGGGTGTGTGTAAGTGTCCATAATGATTTGGAGTAATATTGTACCCTGGTTGCCAGTGGTGACTTAACATTTAATACACACTTGTCGTGGCATCATGCAATGTGCTGCATTACTGTGGAGTGAAAATATCTCTAGGTTGAGAGTGGTTCTGGGTAGATGGCATTTGTTTGTTAACTCCAGTTTCTCTCTCAAATACTATACAATATGTTATTTTATTCGTCATTTGTATATTGAACTAATGAATCGGTTCTTTTGAAACCTAACACTTCAACACTGTATTAGTGTATTAGGTGTACAGTACAATACATCAAATTCTGTCTGCTCCCTCAACTGACTCGTTAGTAAGATTTCCTTTCATTCAAGCACAGTCATAGTGACATACTGTTTTCTTTTCTACTCAACGTCATTCTTGGCATCCTCCAAACATTAATTACTGTTGCTGATAAACTACCGTTGTGCTGTACTAAATAATCTCCAACTTCTCATTCATATTATTCTTCATCATACAGTACGTGCATATTTCACATCCTGCTATATTAGTTCTCTGGACTCGGTAAATTGCAATACTATATTCAATTGTTCTCATTTTTAGGTTAACTGATTTAGAAGTTCATTAGTGAACTTTCAACACGTTCTATGATTTTTTCTCAAATTTGCCAATTTTTCAGTACACCTCTAATCCCTACTCGCAATATCCATAATGTCATGTGATCTCTCATTGCCAGTCCAACGAAATATAGACACCACAAACATCTCATTTCAATTATTATTTCAGTTCCACACTACGTACATGTATTTATGTTAACCTTACAGTCGTCCACAATTTTGTGTTTGATAATATAACGCAACGGACGAAGAATTTTGACAACCTTACAAAGACACCAGGAGTCGGTGTTCATACAGTATTTAAATTCATCGGACCCATCTGTAAAGAATTTTTTTTTTGATTATGTGTAACTTCTCAAGATCATAGCAACTGTCAAAGGTGCTGTTGGACCTAGGAAAGATCTTGGTAATTTTGAACAACTTGAAATTTAGATAAAATTTTCATAACAAGGAAGGAGAAATAAAGGAATATTTCTTAACACTGTGTGAATTAAATGTTCTCTAGAAGCTTGCTGCATATATTTATTTTTATCTTGTTTGCAAATGCCAGAGCAATATTATTTATCAGAAGGTATTTCTATATCTCAAATAATTGTGTTCTGTAAAACATACCTTGACGTAGACTAAGGGAGCAGATTCACTTGTGCCAAAAGCTAAATGGAGATTTGTCATAGCATGTCCAGAATTGTTCATTCTTTGAAAGAAGATGGTGTTCTTCAATGTATAAAAAACTATTATATGTATAGCCTACAAGGAATGATTGAAGCTGTATGAATAATATTGTACAAACTTTATAGTCCTGTAGAATACAGTAATTTTATGTTCTGTTATCCTCTGATTGTTTCCCATTTGTCAATTCATGTTCAGTGTGTTCTTTAGCTTTGTAATTATTTTACCATTGATGTTCTTTAGGCAGCAGAGTGCCATGTAGGTAGCTCATATTGTATATAGGAAAGTAGCTTAAGAGGTAGATTCCCACACACACTGAATTGCAGAATCATATTTGAATACTAATCCCTAATAAATCATTCTAATATAAGGTTGACATTTACAGTAATGCCCAGTGTTGTCCTGCACTTATCATTGGGTCTTCCTGGTGTCCACTAGGAGTACTGGTGACCCATATCGTCTGTTCATTACTCCTTTCTTTGCATTAATTGTCCAGTTAGTCAGATATCTTTTATTTTCAATCAGTTCTCACAATATATCATCAATTTTTAACCATTCAGAGCAGTGTCTACTAGTCCATAAGAGTTGGATCTACTTCTCAAAATCATTGTATAGTACTAAAATGTATTTATACTTTTTTGCTCATTTCTAAGAATTCCTATTTTTTATTTCCGTTCTACAAATTTTCATCAACCTTTGCCAGTTTTGGGAGTAACAACCTTATGTTATAATGATTAATTGTGGCCCTATTTATTTCCCGAATAGTCATAACACTCAGTATTATCAGTACAGTGTTACGTTATAAAGGCAACTGGTATTGTACATACATGCCTTGGTGTACAGACGTAACATAGTGTAAGTAAGCAAAATGTTGAGAATATTCTATATGCATAAAAATATATATCTGTGAATTTTAATGTTTGTTTACGCACTCCCATTACAAGAAATGCCATGTTTACTGTGAAATAAGTTATCATTGAATGCTTCCATGTCTGACAAAATATACCATAATCCTACCTGCATGTATACTCCAAGAATTTATACATGGTTATGTATTCCTCTCTCAGCATACATATTATAAATTATTCTTCATTTTCATTTATTTCTGGCACTTCAAGTTTCCTTAAAACTTATTAAATTTCCCTAGTACAGAATTTTGATCACTAGCAATTCTACACTCAAACTTTCCGTGTGGTTATTAAAGTTTCCCTTGACTTCATCCATTTTGCTCGAATAACTTTTTGTGTCCCTTTGTGTATACTTACAAAATCCCACCTCTATCTTTTTACATTTAATCTAATGTATAAATTCTGAGAGTGACACACGACTCACATACCTATCTGGCACCTGTGTCCGTAAGAGAGAGGCACTGTTACTGACCCTCGGCAGGTGGTTCATGAGGAAGTATCGTGGTCATCTGGGTGGTCTAGATGGGGTGTTAGCCAGGAGCAGAGGGGAACTGCGCTACAAACACGCGCCCTGAGCCATCACGTACTACTGTCCTTCACTCTCTGTTCCCCAGGTGAGTTACTACCGTCCCTCACTCTCTGTTCCCCAGGTGAGTTACTACTGTCCCTCACTCTCTGTCCCCCAGGTGAGTTACTACTGTCCCTCACTCTCTGTTCTCCAGGTGAGTTACTACTGTCCTTCACTCTGTTCCCCAGGTGAGTTACTACCATCCCTCACTCTCTGTTCCCCAGGTGAGTTACTACCGTCCTTCACTCTCTGTTCCCCAGGTGAGTTACTACCGTTCTTCACTCTCTGTCCCCCCGGGTGAGTTACTACTGTCCCTCACTCTCTGTCCCCCCAGGTGAGTTACTACTGTCTCTCACTCTGTCCCACCAGGTGAGTTACTACTGTCCCTCACTCTCTGTCCCCCCAGGTGAGTTACTACCGTCCTTCACTCTCTGTCCTCCCAGGTGAGTTACTACCGTCCCTCACTCTCTGTCTCCCCAGGTGGGTTGCCATTGTACCAGCTGCAACACACTTATCTCTCATTCCAGGTAGGTGTGAGAATGGAGCGCTCTATTGATCCTCACTACCAAACATTACAAGTTTTCTCCACGTGCTACTGTACTACACTACACAAAAACAGTTATAACAAAGAACGGAACAACCGTCCAAACATCTATTAAGCTGATAAAACTGATGAAATGATAAGTAAATAAAGTACAAAATGAGGTATGTAATGGTTGGTGAATGCTAACTGATGTGGTGTTTAGATTCACAAACGTTTCCTCGTGTAAAACTACAGTAGTTCAATAACAATCTGCAACTGAATACTGTACTGTACAGTTTATTGTAACATGTTTACCCAATATTTAGACGTAAATATCTTTTAAGATGAATTATTATCATTATCTTACATACGTTATGTTAAGGACAATAAGTTTGAATTTTTAGACAACTCGAATAAATGAGAAATGAGTTTTATCATCTCCACCATAAGTTGGAGAATTTGGTATAGTACTATACATGATTTTGGAAGTTAATGTGACATTTAGCATTCTCATAGGCTACGTTGATGAGTGTCTTACTTTTACTTACTTGTATCCTCTTCACCACTGATCGACTCGTTAGCCGCTTGGGCGATCGGTCACGTCTCTGTCACGCACTGTTGGTAAGTACTCGGCATGTACTGGCTCTCCGTTACACACTATTGTCACCGGCTCCTGAATGTACCTGAACCTGCTCCAGTGTTGGTCAAGTCTGGTCTTGAAAGAGCTCACACTCGGTGCCGTCACAACACTTTCTCGTAGATTGTTCCACGAGTTCACAACTCTCACCCCGAAAAAGTTTGTCCTCACAGTTTTCTGGACCTGCGGCTTCTTCAGTATTTGAGCTGTGACCCCTTGTGGGGCGAGCGTCCGCCAACTCCAGGTAAGGAAACCCGACTGAGTAGTGCCCCTTGAGATGCTTATACACCTCAGTTAAGTCGCCCCTTGCCCGTCTGTAGTAGAAGATAGGCAAGTTCAGGCGCTCCAAACTCTTAGGGCAGCTCAGGTGCCGAAGTGCAGGCACCAGTCTGGTGGCCCTCCTTTGAACATTTTCAATCAACTGACAGTCCCTAGTATACCACTAGCCCTTACACTCTACCACTAACCCTCACACTCTACCACTAACCCTCACACCCTACCACTAACCCTTACACTCTACCCCTAGCCCTTACACTCTACCACTAGCCCTCATACCCTACCCCTAACCCTCACACCCTACCACTAGCCCTCACACCCTACCACTAGCCCTCACACTCTACCACTAACCCTCACACTCTACCTCTAGCCCAGATACCCCACCCCCAAGGGCCCTACCAGGGGCGGTGTCGCCCCCAAGGGCCCTGCCAGGGGCAGCGGTGCTCACTGAGGCTCTGCCAGGGGCAGCGGTGGTCTCAGGGGCCCGGCCAGGAACAATGGCGCCCTGAGGGGGGAACTGCCAAGGGCCCAACCAGGGGCGATGGAGCCACCAGGGCTTCTCCCAGGGGTGATGGCGCCATTAGGGTCCCTACCAGGGGCGGTGGCGTCCCAGGGTACCTCCCATGGCGGTGATGCCCCCAAGGTCCCTTCCAGAGGCAGCGTTGGTCCCAGGGGCACTGTCAGGGGCGGTTGCACTCCCAGAGGCCCTGTGATGTGCTGTGGGTCTCCCAGGGAATATTCCAGGCGCTTGGGGCCCTGCAGGGGCCCTACTCAGGGGTGGCGCCGCCGCCAGGGGTTCTCCCAGGGGCAGCGGCGCCCCAAGGGGCCCTACTAGGTCTGTTCTGCCCCCAGGGGCCCTGCCTTGGGCTGTGGGGCATAGGGAACGGAGGCGCTTCCAGGGGACCTTCCCAGGGACGACGGCTACCCCTGGGGCCCTGCCAAGGGCGGTGTCACCCCCAGGGGCTCTCTTTTGTGGTGGCGTTGCACCCCGGGGCCCTCTCAGGGGCAGCGGAGCATCCAGAGGCCCTGCCAAGGGCTGTGGCATCCCTAGGGGCCTTCCCAAAAGCGGCGGCATCCCCGGGGGCACTGCGAGGGGCGGTGGCGCTCCATGGTTCTTGCCAGCGGCGCCACCGCCCCGCTAGGGGTCTTCCCAAGGGCAACGCTGCTGACAGGGTCTCTGCCATGGGTATTCCAGGGACAGCGGTGGTCCCAATAGCCTTTCCAGGGGCGGTGCCGTTCCCAGTGGGCTTACCCAGGGTCTCTACCAGTTGCACCTGCCAGGGGCTGTGGCTCCCAAGGGGCCATGCCAGGGTTGGTGGCACCCGCGGCAGGCCCACTAAGGGGCTGTGGCGGTCCCAGGGGGCCATGCCATGGGCCCCTGCTATGGGCGGTGGCACTCCCAGGGGGCCACATCAGGGCTGTGGCCCACCAGAGCCCATCCCAGGGGCTGTAGTGTCCCCAGGGGCCCTGCCAGGTTCGGTGGCGCCCTTAGGGGCCTTCCCAAGGGCTGTGGGACCCCCATGGGTGCTCCCAGGGGTCCTGCCATGAGACTGTGGAATTCCCAGGGAATATTCCAGCGGCTGGGGTCGCCCTGCCAGGGGCGGTGGCACCCCCAGTGGCTCTGCCAGGGCGGTGGCGGCACCAGAGCCGTTCCAGGTGCGGTGGTCACCCCGGGGCTCTCCCCGGGGCGGCGGCACTTCCATGGGCCCCACCAGGGGCAGCGGCGCCGTCAGGGGACCTTCCAGGGGCTGTGGGGCTCCTAGGGACCCTCCTAGGACCGGAGTCGCTCCCGGGGGCCCTCCCACTTTACAGCCCTGACTTCCTGGGACACACACACATGCCGTACACCCCTAACCTCCTGGGACACACACACACACACACATGCCCTACAGCCCTGACCTCCTGGGGAACACACACATGCCCTACACCCCTGACCTCCTGGGACACACACACACACACCCCTGACCTCCTGGGAGACACACGCACACACATGCCCTGCAGCCCTGATCTCCTGGGACACACACATGCCGTACACCTGACGTTCAGGGGAACACACACATGCCGTACACACCTGACCTCACCACGGACGAGGGATAGTGATAAGCGTGTGGTCCTGTATTATGGTGGTCGTCCTGCTGTCCTTGCCTGAGGGTGTCCTCACGTATCTGTTGCTAACGACATATCCTGCCGTATATATAGTTGTTGGTTTGACTGTGTGTACGCCATATGTCACTGTTATCATTACTGTTCACTGATATAATAGTGATTAATCATGACTTTGTAGCTAGGTTAGACTTGCCACTGTAACCACCAGGCTACTGGGCCAAGCTGTGAGGTGTTATGGTTGTTTTTCTACTGGTATTTTCAGCTAGATACAGTATACGTAACTTTCTTCATTTATTTTCACTCATTTACATGAGCACACCACCCTACATACATATTGTCACAAAAGTAAAAGAAATAATTGTCCTAAAGGCAAGCACGTGTTGCTGGTATGTTATCCAGGTTGGATGTGAGTAAGGCGCATGGACCGGACGGAATACCCCCTCGTGTTCTGAGGGAGTAAGCTGAAGCTCTGGCCCCTGTGCCTGCTCGCCTCTTTCGCCTCTGCCTCAAAACCCAAACTCTTTCTTCTTCTTGGAAGCATGTTTGGTTCAGCCCATCCCGAAGAAGGATGACCATTCTAATCCTCTAACTATCGCCCCATTGCCCTAACTTCATCCCTCTAAGATTTTCGAAACTATCTTGAACTCCATTTTCCGTCACCTTGAACGCTCTTTTGTCGGATCACCAGTATAGCTTTCGCCAGGCGAGATCTACTGTGATCTGCTCTCCTATTGCACCCATCTCTGGTCATCCTCTTAGAGATTATGGGGAAACTTTCGTCGTGGCCCTCAACATCTCCAAAGCATTTGACAGGGTATGGCACAAGCCTTTGCTTAAACTCTTTTGTTTTTTTCTCCCCACTTTGTTTCTAATCTCTAGCTTCCTTGAGAACCGATCCATGGCAGTTGATGTCGAGGGATCGATCTCTCGCTCTTTCTCTACCAATAGTGGTGTTCCACAGGGTTCTTTTCTTTCACCTACTCTCTTCCTTCTTTTTATCAATGATTTACTTCACACTACAACTAATTCTATCCATTCTTACGCTGATGATTGTACTCTTCACTCTTCTTCACATTTTCCCCTTCCTACTAAAACTCAAACTAGATCTGTTTCTAGAGCTGATATCATTACTTCTATCAATGCAGATCTGTGCAGCATCTCTGAATGGGGAGGTACAAACTTGGTTAAATTCAATAGTAATAAAACTCAATATTTACCAATTACACTTTCTAAATTAGATGATCTCCCGCCAATTACATTTCAGGACGCAATCATTCTGTCAAATTCTGAAATAGATATGCTAGGCCTCACCATTTCCTCTAATATGTCATGGAAGCCACACATCCTCAACATTGCTAAAGCCGCCTCCCGAAAGCTGGTAATGCTGTACAGATGCCGTAGCTACTTCACTCCTGAGCAGTTGCTTCAAGTATGTACGGGATTCATTCGTCCTAACTTGGAGTACTGCTCTCATGTCTGGGGTGCCTTTTCTCTCCTTTACAGGTACTTTAACGGGCAATGTTCGGTGGATTTGGCATCCTGTGTACCGCAGGCAAGGCCGTGGACTCGTAACACACGTCTTGCCCGCGGTGCCTACCGTTTCTCTGTGGATGTCGGTCACACGCAGTGCCGGATTTAGACCTGTGGAGGCCCATGGGCAGCCTCTTTGTGGAGGCCCCCCTCATTAAAACTACCCAAGAGGGTGGGGTGGCGAGTGAAGCGAGAATTTTGAAGCCATATGCAGTTATATTGAGGAAATTAGAACATTGAATTTTTTTTAATTAACTGTATATCTATTGATAGTGTAAAATTCCCAACACACACACACACACACAAAAGTGAGACATGACTGGAGTCATTCATGTGGTTTCAAGTCGTAGTTTCCATTCGTAATGGAAGTGATAATGAAAAAAAAATATATTTTTTTTTATCCCTATTTCGTTATTCCATGTAGTTCATTTTTAATCAATACATGTTTGTGGAATTCTAAATATATTATTAGCAACACAAACAATAGCATTCATTAAAAATATACAGTTCATAGGAAAACCAGGTATTCATGAATTTCAAGGAGTAGCTAGCCTAATCTCTATCACGCTTCTTGCTGAACATAGTTTTACGTGATGGAATAGAAAAACATGAATTTTAATGAATGAAAATAAAAAAAATCCAAATGAATAAACAAATAAATAAAATATTGTAATATGTGGAGGCCCCCAGATTGTGGAGGCCCCTGGGCAGCTGCCCACTTTGCCCACTTCTGAATCCGGCCCTGACGTTACATTTTACTTCACCAATCACAGTTAAGTAAGGGAATTCAAAATGTACGACACCACCATGAAGTTTTCGGGGCGATGCCGGATGTGGAAGGGCCCCTGGGGGCGCCGTCGCCCGTGGCAGAGACCCTGCCACCCCTGGAAAGGCACCCACTGCGACTAGGAGGGCCCACAGCAGCGCAGCTGGCCCTAGGAGGGCCCAAAGGGGCGCTGCAGCCCCTGGCAGGGTCCTTATGGGCAGTGGCGCCCCAAAGAGGGAGCCTAGGGGAGACACCACCTCTGAAGGGCCCCTGAAGCCGCCACCGCTGTGGTAGAGCCCCTGGGGACGTCGCCGTACCTGGAAACACCCCTGAAGGAGCCCCAGTCCCTGTAAGGGACCCTGGGATCGCTGTTATCCCTGTGAGGGTCGCTTGGCCATGCCTGGCACGGAGATGCCCCCAGGAACCGCTCAGAGTCGCCGGTGCCCCAGGGGACCTGTCAAAGGCACTGGATCCACCAGGGGCGCTCTTGGGAACAACGGCAATCCTAGGGGCTTTCTCATTGAAGGCGGCGTTCTCAGGGGCTCCTCCAGAGACAGCCGAGTTTTCATGGGCCTCTGAGGGACGGCAACGCTCCTAGGGACCCTTACAGACTCGAGGGCGCCCCCATGGGCCCTGCTAGGCGCGCTGGCGACACGAGTGGCCCTCACAGGGACAGCAGTGACCCCAGGGGTTTTTCCAGGGAAGGGGACGCCTCCAGGTACGTTCCTAGGGACCGTGGTGCTCCCAGACGCTCTGCCAGCGGCGATGGCGCCTTCAGGGGCCCTTCCAGAAACGGTGGCTACCCCCAGGCCTCTTTATGGGGCGCCACTGCTCCCAGGGACCCTGCCAAGGCCTGTGGCTCACAATAGGTCCTCCTAGGGGAGGCGACGCCCCAAAACAACGGATATGTTGTACATATTGCATTCTTCCAGTAATCTCTTAATTAAATGTGATTGGTGGAATAAGAGGTAATGTCATGAAATTACAGCCAAGAGGAAAACAAAGCAATCAATTAGCACAACACCCTAACTTATGTTTTGCTGTTGGATATTTATTCTCCTTTTTATTGTTCAGGTTGCGATAATACTGAAAATGCGATGGGCAGTGGATAGATTTAACGTCATATCTCCCAGAATTTAAATAGTGAAACGAGAATAAATATCCAACAGCAAAGCATAAATTGGGGTGTTGTGCTGACTGATTGCTCTGTTCTCCTATTGGCTGTAATTTGATGTCGTGACATCTTGCTCCACCAATCACAGTTAAGTAAGGGATTACTAGACGAATGCAAAATATACGACAAAACTATAAAGTTTTTGGGGCGATGCCACATGTGGAAGGGCCCTTGGGGGCGCCATCGCCCCTGGCAGAGAACCTGCCGCCCCTGGAAAGGCACCCACTGCAACTAGGAGGGCCCATAGCAGCGCCTGGGCTCCCCCAAGGCTTCTTTATGGGGGGCCACTGCTTCCAGGGAGCCTGCCAAGGCCTGTGGCTCACAATAGGTCCTCCTAGGCGAGGCGGCGCCCCAAAACAATGGATAGTGGGGTCTTATATATTGCATTCTTCCAGTAATCTCTTACTTAACCGTGATTGGTGGAATAAGAGGTAACATCATCAAATCACAGCCAATAGGAAAACAGAGCAATCAGTCATCACAACACCCCAATTTATGCTTTGCTGTTGGATATTTATTCTCCTTTTTATTGTTCTGGTTGTGATAATAATGAAAATGCGATGGGCAGTGGATAGATTTAACGTCATATCTCCCAAAATTTAAATAGTGAAACGAGAATAAATATCCAACAGCAAAGCATAAGTTGGGGTGTTGTGCTGACTGATTGCTCTGTTCTCCTATTGGCTGTAATTTGATGACTTTACATCTTGCTCCACCAATCACAGTTAAGTAATTGATTACTGGAGGAATACAAAATGTATGACAAAACTAGGAAGTTTTGGGGCGATGCCGCATGTGCAAGGGCCCCTGGGGGCTCCGTCGCCCCTGGCAGAGACCCTGCCGCCCCTGAAAAGACACCCACTGCGACTTGGAGGGCCCATAGCAGCGCCGCAGGCCCTAGGAGGATCCATAGGGGCGCCAAAGCCCCTGGCAGGGTCCTTGTGGGCAGTGGCGCACAACAGAGGGACCCTAGAGGAGACACCTCCTCTGGAAGGGCCCCTGAAGGCGCCACTGCTGTGGTAGGGCTCCTGAGGGCGTCACCGTCCATGGGAACACCCCTCAAGGCGCCCCCGTCCCTGTAAGGGAAGCTGTGATCGCCGCTATCCCTATGAGGGTCACTTGGCCATGCCAGGCACAGAGGCGTCACTAGGGCCCTCTCAGGGTCGGCGGTGCCCCCAGGGGACCTGTCAGGGGAACTGGATCCACCAGGGGCGCTCTTAGGGAGAACTGCAATCTTAGGGGCCTTCTCAGGGAGGGCGGCGTCCTCAGAGGGTCCTCCAGGAACAGTCGAGCTTCCATGGGCCTCTCAGGGACAACAATGATCCTTGGGGCCCTCAAAGGGACAGCAACGCTCCAAGGGACCTTCACAGACACAGCTGCGCCCCCATGGGCCCTGCTAGGGGCGCTGGATACCCCCAGGCCTCTTTATGGGGCGCCACTGCTCTCAGGGACCCTGCCAAGGCCTGTAGCTCACAATAGGTCCTCCTAGGGGAGGCGGCGCCCCAAAACAATGGATAGTGGTGCCGTACATATTGCATTCTTCCAGTAATCTCTTACTTAACTGTGATTGGTGGAATAAGAGGTAACGTCATCAAATTACAGCCAATAGGAAAACAGAGAAATCAGTCATCACAAAACCCAAACTTATGTTTTGCTGTTGGATATTTATTCTCCTTTTTATTGTTCAGGTTGCAATAATACTGAAAATGCGATGGGCGGTGTATTTATTTAACGTCATATCTCCCAGAATTTATAAAGTAAAACGAGAATAAATATCCAACAGCAAAGCATAAGTTTGGGTTTTGTGATGACTGATTGCTCTGTGATCCTATTGGCTGTAATTTGATGACGTTACATCTTGCTCCACCAATCACAGTTAAGTAAGGGATTACTGGACGAATGCAAAATGTACGACAAAACTATGAAGTTTTGGGGGCGATGCCGCATGTGCAAGGGCCCCAGGGGGCGCCGTCGCCCCTGGCATAGGCCCTGCCGCCCCTGGAAAGACACCCACTGCGACTAGGAGGTCCCATAGGGGCGCCACATTTCTTGGCGGGGTCCTGTGGGCAGTGGCGCCCCATAGAGGGACCCTAGAGGAGACACCGCCTCTGGAAGGGCCCCAGAAGGCGCCACCACTGTGGTACGGCCCCTGGGGCCTTGCCGTCCATTGGAACACCCCTGAAGGTACCCCCGTCCTTGTAAGGGACCCTGGGATCGACGTTATCCCTGTGAGAGTCACTTGGCCTTGCCAGGCATGGAGGCGCCCCCAGGGCCCTCTCAGCGTCGGCGGTGCCACCAGGGGACCTGTCAGGGGCGCTGGATCCACCCGGGGCGCCCTAGGGACAACGGCAATCCTACAGGCCTTCTCAGAGAAGGCGGCGTACTCAGAGGCTCTTCCAGAAACAGTCGAGCTTCCATGGGCCTCTCAGAGACAGCAACGCTCCTAGGGACACTCACAGACACGGCGGTGCCCCCATGGGCACTGCTAGGGGCGCTGGCAACCCTAGGGGCCGTCACAGGGACAGCCGTGATCCCATGGGTCTTTCCAGGGACGGGGGCGCCTGCAGGTACGTTACCAGGGACCGTGGTGCTCTCAGAGGCCCTGCCAGCGACGATGGCGCCTTTAGGGGCCCTTCCAGCGGCGGTGGCTCCCCCCAGGACTCTTTATGGGGCGCCACTGGTCCCAGGGACCCTGCCAAGGTCTGTGGCTCACAATAGGTCCTCCTAGGGGAGGCGATGCCCCAAAACAATGGATAGTGATGTTGTACAAATTGCATTCTTCCAGTAATGTCTTACGAACTGTGATTGGTGGCATAAGAGGTAACGTCATCAAATTACAGCCAATAGGAAAACAGAGCAATCAATTAGCACAACACCCCAACTTATGTTTTGCTGTTGGATATTTTTTCTCCTTTTTATTATTCAAGTTGCGATAATACTGAAAATGCGATGGGCGGAGTATCTATTTAACGTCATATCTCCCAGAATTTAAATAGTGAAACGAGAATAAATATCCAACAGCAAAACATAAGTTGGGGTGTTGTGCTGACTGATTGCTCAGTTCTCCTATTGGCTGTAATTTGATGACGTTACATCTTGCTCCACCAATCACAGTTAAGTAAGGGATTATTGGACTAATGCAAAATGTACGACAAAACTATGAAGTTTTGGGGGCAATGCCGCATGTGCAAGGGTTCCTGGGGGCGCCGCCGCCCCTGGCAGAAACCCTGCCGCCCCTGAAAAGACACCCACTGCGACTAGAAGAGCCCATAGCAGCGCCGCAGCATAGGGGTGCCACAGCCCCTGGCAGGGTCCTTTTTCGCAGTGGCACCATAGAGGGACCCTAGAGGAGACAACGCCTCTGGAAGGGCCCCTGAAGCTGCCATCGCTGTGGTAGGGCCCCTGAGGGCGTCGCCGTCCATGGGAATACCCCTTAAGGCGCCCCCGTCCCTGTAAGGGAAGCAGTGATCGCCGCTATCCCTATGAGGGTCACTTGGCCATGCCAGGCACAGAGGCGCCACCAGGGCCCTCTCAGGGTCGGTGGTGCCCCCAGGGGACCTGTCAGGGGCGCTGGATCCACCAGGGGCGCTCTTAGGGACAACCGCAATCCTAGGGGCCTTCTCAGGGAAGGCTGCGTCCTCGGAGGCTCGTCCAGGAACAGTTGAGATTTCATGGGCCTCTCAGGGACAGCAATGCCTCTTGGGACCCTCACAGGGACAGCAACGCTCCTAGGGACCTTCACAGACACGGCGGCGCCCCCATGGGCCCTGCTAGGGGCGCTGACAACCCTAGGTGTCCTCACAGGGACAGCCGTGATCCCATGGGCCTTTCCAGTGACGGGGGCGCCCACAGGTACGTTACTAGGGACCGTGGTGCTCCCAGACGCCCTGCCAGCGGCGATGGCGCCTTCAGGGGCCCTTCCAGAAACGGTGGCTACCCCCAGGCCTCTTTATGGGGCGCCACTGCTCCCAAGGACCCTGCCAAGGCATGTGGTTCACAATAGGTCCTCCTAGGGGAGGCGGCGCCCCAAAATGATGGATAGTGGTCTTGTACATATTGCATTCTTCCAGTAATCGCTTACTTAACTGTGATTGGTGGAATAGAGGTAACGTCATCAAATTACAGCCAAGAAGAAAACAAAGCAATCAATTAGCACAACACCCCAACTTATGTTTTGCTGTTGGATATTTATTCTCCTTTTTATTGTTCAGGTTGCGATAATACTGAAAATGCGATGGGCGGTGTATTTATTTAACGTCATATCTCCCAGAATTTAAATAGTGAAACGAGAATAAATATCCAACAGCAAAGCATAAGTTGGGGTGTTGTGCTGACTTATTGCTCTCTTCTCCTATTGGCTGTAATTTGATGATGTTACATCTTGCTCCACCAATCACAGTTATGTAAGGGATTACTGGACGAATGCCAAATGTACGACAAAACTAGGAAGTTTTTGGCGCGATGCTGCATGTGGAAGGGCCCCTGGGGGCGCCGTCGCCTTTGGCAGAGATCCTGCCGCCCCTAGAAAGGCACCCACTGCGAATAGAAGGGCCCATAGCAGCGCCACGGGCCCTAGGAGGGCCCATAGGGGCGCCACAGTTCTTGGCAGGGCCCTGTGGGCAGTGGCGCCCCATAGAGGGACCCTAGAGGAGACACCACCTCTGGAAGGGGCCCTGAAGGCGCCACCATTGTGGTACGGCCCCTGGGGCTTCGCCGTCCATGGGAACACCCCTGAAGGTGCCCCCGTCCCTGAAAGGGACCCAGGGAACGACGTTATCCCTGTGAGAGTCACTTGGCCTTGCAGGGATGGAGGCGACCCCAGGGCCCTCTCAGGGTCGGCGGTGCCCCCAGGGGACCTGTCAGGGACGCTGGATCCACCAGGGGCGCTCTTAGGGACAACCGCAATCCTAGGGGCCTTCTCATTGAAGGCGGCGTTCTCAGGGGCTCCTCCAGAGACAGCCGAGTTTTCATGGGCCTCTGAGGGACGGCAACGCTCCTAGGGACCCTTTCAGACTCGGCGGCGCCCCCATGGGCCCTGCTAGGCGCGCTGGCGACACGAGTGGCCCTCACTGGGACAGCAGTGACCCCAGGGGTTTTTCCAGGGAATGGGACGCCTCCAGGTACGTTCCTAGGGACCGTGGTACTCCCAGAGGCCCTCCCAGAGGCCCTGTCAACTGCGTGGCGCCTTCAGGGGCCCTTCCAGAGGTGGTGGCTCCCCCCCAGGCCTCTTTATGGGGAGCCACTGCTCCCAGGGACCCTGCCATGGCCTGTGGCTCACAAAAGGTCCTCCTAGAGGAGGCGGCGCCCCAAAACCTAGGATAGTGGTGTCGTACATATTGCATTTTTCCAGTAATCTCTTACTAAAATGTGATTGGTGGAATAAGAGGTAATGTCATGAAATTACAGCCAATAGGAAAACAGAGCAATTAATTAGCACGACACCCTAACTTATGTTTTGCTGTTGGATATTTATTCTCCTTTTTATTGGTCAGGTTGTGATAATACTGAAAATGCAATGGGCGGTGTATTTTTTAGCGTCATATCTCCCAGAATTTATATAGTGAAACGAGAATAAATATCCAACAGCAAAGCATAAGTTGGGGTGTTGTGATGACTGATTTCTCTGTTCTCCTATTGGCTGTAATTTGATGATGTTACATCTTGCTCCACCAATCACAGTTAAGGAAGGGATTACTGGACGAATCCAAAATGTACGACAAAACTATGAAGTTTTGGGGGCGATGCCGCATGTGCAAGGGTCCCTGGGGGCTCCGTCGCCTCTGGCATAGACCCTGCCGCCCCTGGAAGGACACCCACTGCGACTAGGAGGGCCTATAGCAGCGCCGCCGGCCCTATGAGAGCCCATAGAGGTGCCGCAGCCCCTGGCAGGGTCCTTATGGGCAGTGGCGCCCCATAGAGCGACCCTGGATGAGACACTTACTCGGGAAAGGCCCCTGAAGGCGCCACCGCTGTGGTAGGGCCCCTTGGGGCGCCTCAATCCCTGGAAACACCCCTGAAGGAGCCCCAGTCCCTGTAAGCGACCCTGGGATCGCCGTAATCCTTGTGAGAGTCACTTGGCCATGCCAGGCACGGAGGCGCCCCCAGGGCCCTCTCACAGTCGGCGGTGACCCCAGGGGACCTTTCAGGGAAACTTGATCCACCAGGGGCGCTCTTAACGACAACGGCAATCCTAGGGGCTGTCTCACGGAAGGCTGCGTTCTCAGGGGCTCCTCCAGAGACAGCCGAGTTTCCAAGGGCCTCTCAGGGACGGCAACGCTCCAAGGGACGCTCAAAGACTCGACAGCACCCCCATTGGCCCAGCTAGGGGCCCATGGGCCCTGCTAGGGGCTCTACCGACCCGAGGGGCCGTCACAGGAACACCAGTGACCTCAGGGGTTTTTCCAGGGACATGGGCGCCTCGTGGTACGTTCCTAGTGACCGTGGTGCTCCCAGTGGCCCTCCCAGTGACGGTGTCGCCTTGAGGGGCCCTTCCAGAGGCGGTGGCTCCCACCAGGCCTGTTTATAAGGCGATGGGCGCTGAATTTATTTAACGTCATATCTCCCAGAATTTAAATAGTGAAACGAGAATAAATATCCAACAGCAAAGCATAAGTTGGGGTGTTGGGCTGACTGATTGCTCTGTACTCCTATTGGCCCTAATTTGATGACGTTACATCTTGCTCCACCAATCACAGTTAAGGAAGGGATTACTGGACGAATCCAAAATGTACGACAAAACTCTGAAGTTTTTGGGGCGATGCCGCATGTGCAAGGGCCCCTGGGGGCTCCGTCGCCCCTTGCAGAGACCCTGCCGCGCCTGAAAGGAAACCCACTGCGACTAGGAGGGCCCATAGCAGCGCCACGGGCTCTACGAGGGCCCTCAGGGGCGCCACAGCCCCTGGCAGGGTCCTTGTAGGCAGTGACGCCCCATAGAGGGTCCCTAGAGGAGACACCGCCTCTGGAAGGGCCCCTGAAATCGCCACCGCTGTGGTAGAGCCCCTGGGGTTGTCGCCGTCCATGAGAACACCCCCGAAGGCACCCCTATCCCTGTAAAGGAAGCTATCATCGCCGCTATCCTTAT